TGCAATTTTCATGTTTACGAAATATTTCCTTGGCTTTTTTCAAATTATTAAATGCCCGTGTTACTAATGCCCCTGTTACTTGATGATCTCCTTTTCCTACAGTATTGGAAGGTGAAAATATTACGCAATATTTACAAAAAGATCCGGATTTTTCTTCAGAATAAGCTAACCACTCAAATTCTTCTAACCATTTCATTTGAAAAGTTCTAGTATGGGTTGAAGTAGAACAACTGGAATTAGAAGGAAATTTGTATGCAGGTTGTGGTTTCCAAACATTTTCTACAAGCGAAATTTTTTCTTCATTTGTTAACGAACGAACGGAATCGTTTTGACAATAGTTTCCAATATCATAGATATTTCTTTTTACCTGGTTGAAGTCCTCTGTAAGTGGGGCTGGATGTGGATCAACCGTACCAATACCTTCGAAACCAGAAGAAACATTCTTAGTAGCACAGCCAACTTCAGTACTGTCGCTAATAGACTTATTTACAATCTGTTTTTTTGCAAAAAAATTTATAATAGAAGCTTGTCTCTTCATTATGAATGCAATTGACTTAACAACAAATGTTTCCCGCTTATATAGATTGAGTTAGAGCGCATGAATTCGAGAAGCTTTGATTTCTGGAACAGTCTAAAATCTTCGAAAAGGAACCTATTCAAAATCTCGATTGGGTCTTCAAAATAGGCCACGCCTTCATTGTAAGCCTTCATTTTAGATTTACGATACTCTTAGCGCCATCTATACTTTTTTTCGGAAACTATTTGCTAGCAAAGCCATCCGAATATCAACAAATTATACGTGTATATATATAATTTTTTTCCTTCGGATTTCGGGAGGGGCCCTGGCCCCCTCGGCACCCCCCATATATACGCCCCTGTACTGACCAGATATTTATAAAACCCTTTAGTCAATTTTTTGCCGACCGGCCTGTGTAGGGGGCAGGGAACTGTCATTGCATCAGAAAGGTGCTGGGTCCGAATCCGGGGCAAGGCATGGATGTTTCTTTCTCTCTTAACTGTGTTCTATGTCCTTTCTCCTTTGTGGGTGAATGTGACCCGCCCTATAAATGGGCTGTGGTTGTGTGAATGGCGTGGCAGAAGTCGAATTCCTGGCCATAGATGGCGCCACTGAAAAATAGGAACAATTGCACCTCCACTGCCTAAACAGGTATATGACAAAAAAAATCTATTTTTTAATTGTGTTGTTTAGTTGCAAACCAGCCTTCTCCAAAACGTTCAAGAAAAGTTGATTTTTTGCAATACTATCCAAAATCAGATTTGAACCAAAACTCTTTGATAGAGGGAACACCTAAACCTAATAAAGAGGGAAAGAAGCATATGAAGGTGGGTTTTGCAATTCATTTTGGAGCTGGATGGGTTTTTAAAAACAGAAATTTAAATTTCGTGCAATTCAATGTAAATACTTTATTTTTAAGAGTGGGAATGAGCAAACAATTTTTGTTCAATTAAAATGTGCTAACCAAACGTTAAAACTTTAATTTACGTAAACTATATCTGAAATTACTTTTACGCAATAGGACTACAACTTTAGAAAGCTGAGCAAATAAAAAATAATTTCGAATATAACGGCATTTATCATTAAACTCATAATATTAGATAATGTAACCTTGTAGAATTAAATACCATGATTTATCATAAAGTAGTATTTATGCAACAGGTTCATATAACAGTATTAACATCATTACTTCTTAAACTATTATTGTATTTTCCCATTATTAGCCAATCAGCAGGAAAAGAAAAACAGAGATCTCCCTCATGGCCAAAATTGAGTGTTCTTTGTGGCTGGGGCCATGCAGGCATCAGAATTATTCCTTCGAATTATTAGCTAAAGGAATGTCAAAGATACAGGGTGGAGATGGTGACCACGATGAACCAGTAGTTCTTCAATCAACAGGTATGAATCTGGAAAAGAAAGAAAAGAAACACTGAATGTTCCGTAATAATCACCCTTAATATAGATTTTAATATCTTCGTAAAAAAAAAGTACGCATGCTTGAGTTTGCAGATGGAAAGTTAAAAGAGGAAAAAAATAAAAACTCAATCGAAATTTGGCAAATCACGATCAAGAAAACAAGTGTACAAAACAGGTTCAATTTTAATTTAATCTATAGACGGAGTATTGAACATCTAACCCTTTCTTGGGTTCAAAGCTTTCAAAGCCAAGACATCCATAATCTTGTAATATTAAACCAAACTCGCAAGGCAAGAGGACACCTGGATCAAGCTTAAAGGCAAAATTTTCTTCGTGGAGGACTTTTTATTGGAACTTATTCAAATTTACGTTAAATGGAAGACAAAACCTCGAAAACCTCTCGCAGTTTGCCCAATCGCTAGGAGAATCTAACTCATAATCCCATTGCAGACATTTTACGCCAGCGTTGTGGTCGGGGCGAGCCGGATGCGCCAACACTATAACCGATAAGTATTCTGTTTTCTTTTCTTATGGCAGAATGTAATATTAATTTCTATTCTTACAGATGAAGATCAAGAAATGTATGAGGTTAGAGCACATCTATATCAGGCTCGATCTCTTTCCTACTCTAATTTAAGTCGTCGGAATCCTGATTGTTTTGCAAAGGTGTATGTGAAAAACACTGCCCTCACAACACAGGTAAATTAAATCTCACATTCAAATTTTTCCTTTCATCAGTAGATACAAAAAAAGTGAAGCAAAATAAGGAAAAGTCACATATTCAAGAGAGCGTTTTTGGTGAAAAGCATCACAATTTCTATGCAGGCAATAAGTTGCTTCCGTGCATTGTGCTACCATCTAGTAGCCATTTCAAAAACTGTTGTAAAGTATCTATCTCGAATAATACTAAGGAACAGTTTGATGTGAAAATGCTATTTTTGGAAACGGTATGGCTTATAGTCATATAACTCTAGCACCTTGAACTAGGAGCAACTTTTAAAGAACGTCGTGATGACGTCAGAGTGGATTTTTCTTAACGTTATATAACGTGGAACAACATGCAAACTCAATAACAAACTCAAAAACGACACCGAATTATTTATTTAAAAACCATATGAAGCAACACGTTTATTTTGCAATTACTTCCTTAAAAATAATTTCTAAATAAAATAATTGAAAATTAACAATAATTGGAGTGAAATAAACTTAAGTGCAAAATTAATGACGAAATCGCTTAGTTATCATCTCGATGACCGATGCTATAAGCTCTGCAAGAATATTAAGAATGTATTTAATCTGTATAGGGAATCATTGACAGTATGAAACGTTGTTTGTTGTTTAACATTAAATTCATATACAGAACAAAAAAAAAGCTGGAGCATTTTTTTTAATTTTGCGAATTACTATTTGTAATATGTAATAATTTCAAAAGAGTATTTATATTTCAAATCCACTTTTTAAACCATCTAGGTTGTATAATATTTTAAATAATAAGTTCTTACTTTAGCATAGGATTTTATCTCTTATTTTTTAATCTTTTAGTATTGCTGGAATAAAATTTAATATCTAGCTATGAATAGTTTTGATGAAAGAGGTTTTGATCATAAATATCATGGTTTTTACCTTGCATTTTGCCATGGTTTCAAAAACCTTTCGATTTCTGGTTGTTTTGGGTTTTATGGTAGAGTGGTATCCTCACAATTTAAGCGTTGTTTAACTGCTTCAGGTATCAGAGAACACATTAAGTCCCGTCTGGGATGAAACACTGATATTTCCCGGACTTTTGCTGGAGAAAACGGTGTCTGAAGTAGCAATTATCGTCGAAATATTGGCATTGGTAAGTACATATTCGTATTCTTTAAAAAAACATTGCATACTTTCTTAAAACATTAGTTAAATAATCATCCACCGAATCTCACGAATTAGTATAGAGATTATAGATTTTACAGTTAGTTTTCACATTATATATATATTGGATTTCACAGTTAAAGTATTAAAAAGGAACATATGCAAGGTGTTCTCCATATATCTTCCCTTGCCATATAATTTTACACTCCTTGTAATGATCCTCGCTTTCTTTTCGAAATAAATGGGAAAAAGTAGTAGGGTTTCAAAATTTTTTAGAAAATTTCAATATCTTAGCTCAACGTAAATTACTTTTTAAGGTTGCCATAAAACCTAAACACATAAGGTGAAAGTTGCCGATCATTAGGTAACACGAGTGAATATTTGATATTTGGTATTAACTACATAAAGCTTATTATCCAGTTTTTCAATTCAAAGTTTATTTAATTTTTCAGAAATTTCCCTTGCTTAATCCTTACTATGGATATCAAAATAGTGCAAAATAATTTTGACATTTTCACAAAAAGCAGGAATCTTTTCGCCTAATGATTATCGATTTAGGAAAGGAAGGTTAAGGAAGTTTCTTGAACTTTGCTCTAAATTTCAAACGTCTAAGTGTTCAGTTTAATGAGACTTCTTCCTGATCAACGATTATATACTAGCTCTTCTTCAACGGTGTAAGTGGTTATCTGTCTATTTAATAGGGTATTTGTTAGTTCCGCAAGGTTAACTTAACAAAGAGAAATACTTTTTTCATTACTAATTCTGATTACTCCGTTTTTAAGGAAAAGCCAAGATTTTTGGGAAGAATGGTAACTACATTACATCTTTCTCAGCATCCCAGACGTCTTCGGTGGCATGAAGTTGAATTGATGGGTTCAGCAGATGATGCAAATTTGCTTGCATCCTTTGAAATTTTTAAAGTAAGTTTTATGAACACGTTTTTTGAAGGCTGTATTTAAATAGGGATTTATATTAATTAAGCAAAAAGATGGAGTTAACTTTTATTAAAAACAATTACTAAATTCCTGGCCATTTCTGCTACCAAACAAATGCCACCACAAATATGACAAGAAATACAACATATTCGTTAGACTTTAAGGCTCTGTATCTCAGAATGATTTGAAGTGAAACTTTTATACGAAAAACACATTCGTTAAACTTGAAGGCTTTATGTCTCAGAATGAATTAAAGTGGATCTGCAATGGGAAAAAACACATTTGTTCGACTTGAAGGCTCTATAACTCAGAAAGTAGAACTGCATTAAGAAAAACACATTCGTTAGAGTTAAAGGCGTTATATCTCGGAATGAATTAAAGTGGATCTGCAATAGGTAAAAACAATTCATTTGTTAGACTTTATTTAAGACTCAGAATGCATGAATTAATTAAAATGACTCTCAGAAGGAAATAAAGTGGAGCTGCCTCACTGTTCAGAAATGGCCATAAATTATTTTTTTTTCAATCTTGCTGGAGTAAATATTTCTACTGTAAAATCCTCTCTACGCTTCATTCTTTTAATTAAAACTCTTGCAATTTATAGTTTGCTATTACCTTATTTTTGTTTCAAATATTTTGATGAAAGTGATTTTAAATAAGAGCCATGAGAAAAATATTGAAGGAAAAAGAAAAGATAGAAGTAAAATATAAATTTTTTTTCGGAAAGCTTACATGAATGAATAAATTTAAAAAAAACGAAAAAAAAAAAAAAACGTATTACTTTTTATTTCCATTGCATAAAAACTAAGTTAATTAGAACAAAAAATATTTTTTCCAAATTAAAGAGACGACTTGTGTCTACTTTTTAAGGGAAGAAAACTTAAGTTATCTTCTGAAAAACAACTCTTTTTTACATTAATTCTTAGCTTCTAATAAAAACGAAGGTTGCGGCGAAAAGAGTGACGTTTAGCTAGACTAATATGCTTGTGCTAGGTAATCCAGGGCGTTAATTGGAATCTAAGCTGTTACAGATTGTGGTTAATCAAAATCCGAAGACAAAATGGCATTTTTATTGAAAGGAAATGTGTTTTTTATGTCGGATTTACTAATTTAAATTATTGTCTACGCTAATTAAGTATCCTTTTTTAAGATTAGTTCCTCAAATCATTAAAATAGAGCTCTAGTACTCAAATATTTGAGCATTAGATCAAAAGATGTTCGTTTCTTATGCAATTATCTGTATTTGAGAATGTAATTTTTGTCTCTAGTAATTATTTTTTGCTTCATCTCTTCATTTAGAGCGATCAAAGTGTGGTTGCTTTGGAAACGGGCATATTACCGATACCTGACGATATAAGACCTCATTTCTCCAAGTACAGATTAGAAGTAAGAAGTCATTTTTTTTTAAATACTCGCAGTTTTTAATTATTTTTTAAAATTTGACATTGTTTTTATTTTGGAACTGCTCCGAAATTAACATTTTATTCATGAAAAAGTTACGAGATCGCAATCAAAATATATAATTAGATGCGGTTATAAAAAAAAATAACTATAGTTTGTCTACGTTAAGAACTCCCCCAGCCACGATGTCGTAGACCGTCTGCTGCTATAAAAACGTAACTAGTGCATTTCAGGGAGGGTAGCTTGTCTTCACTCTAGGGCTAACACAATAGACCGAAGAAAAAGATTACCTTTCTCTGTTCGACCCGAGCCAAAATCTGTCCTAAACAATGACCCCACACCCCTACTTGAAGTAGTTATATTTCGTTACCATAGTCACCACCAAGGATCTAGACGAATGGCTAGGGGAGTTCTTACTTTAGGTAAACTGTATTAATACGTGTTTATTAATTGGCTTTCGTGAACGTCACAGTGAACCTTTGCATTTGTAATTTCGGACACCTTCCAATTAGCTGGAGCATTCAAATCTTCACAGGAGTTTTGAATTTTATAACAATGTATAGTTCAATAAATTCTTGATCATTGTTAGCAGAATTTTTTCCCAAATTTGATTTCTTTTGTTAATGAAAAATCCAACTTTTTTTTGCTATCTGGAGTGCTCGAATACCAATTTAAGTGTAATGAAAAAAATTCTGTTCATAATGTTTTAATCAAACTTAATCTCCATTTTATCGATGTCACCTTTCCGATCTAAAGCAACCTAAGCTGATACGAAACTAATGTGACGAAAGGAGCACAGTAAAAATTTTAAAAATACTGTTCTTCAGTGGTAAAAAAGAAGAAAATAATTTTATTTTCTTCACACCTAAAACGAAATATTAGGGATCATCATTTTTGCCTTTTTGCAATAAATTTCTAACCCCAACGTAAATCCTACTATTTCCTGACTTTCAAAAATAATGTACAATGCTAAAAAAAAAAAAAATAAAAAAAAATTACCATCTTGAATAACTTTTGATCAAAGGAAATTAAATTATAATAACTAATGAACATTAAACTTCTTTAAAACTCAATTTCTCAGGAACTATTTAACTGATTTTGTTCAAATTTTTTATTTTGCAATGTTAATTTACAGACTAACTACAGACATGACGTAAAAATTTGTATTACCCTACACTTTAAATTTTTTTCGACTATTATTTAATAAAATAATAATAATAAAAAATAAATATTTACTAAAATTTATTTTTTTGCATAGTGTTATCTTTGGACGCCCGGTGGCTGAGTGGTAGCGCTTCACGCTGTCGTGCCATTGGTTCGCTGTCGTCTTTGGTTCGATCCTCGGGCCGGGCAAGGTTGACTCAGTCTTTCATTCCTTCAGTGGGTCGATCAAATGAGTACCAAGCATGCTTGGAAACTAAACACTGAGGGTTCCACGTTGGGCTGACCATTCAGGCGGAACTTCTGCTCTTGCACCCCAGAGCCCAAAGGTCTGAAAACTGAGATGGGCGCAATAGGCCTTGGCCCTCTATGGGCTGTCACGCCACTGAGTTAAAGTTAGTTATCTTTGGAAAAACGAATTTTATAATTGTGTACAAAATTTTTTCAATTCGCGTAAGAAAGCTTTCGAGATTGGCGAAATATGCGAAAAGTAAAATTAACATTATAGGGTCCTAACTTTGGATCACCCTCTTGACTAAACTATAGGAGCATATTTCCCAGATTGCGGCTACCACCTACACATTTGGGGGTTAGAAATCCAAATCTATCAAAAAAAAATTTTATTCAGAGAAAGTAAGTTTTTGTATCTTATTTCGTAACTTAAAATATCGTCTGCCTTAATTAATTTGCATACTTAAGGTCACCCTCTGGAACCATTAAGATTTAGTCCTATATCGTTCAGATCCGATCATTACGCCAAAAGTTAGTGATATACATAAGTTAGTGGTTAAAAGTTATTCAGGGTGCTGCGTTTTTATTTATTTATTTATTTATTTTTTTGATGTGATGAAAATTGTAATAATTTTTTTCTTTTTTAGCTCATCTTAAAAACTTAGTTTTAAATATGTTTATTCGATTTTATTTTTACTTTTACTTAAATTTTCTGTACTTTATGAGTCAGTTAATGTATTGTTTTGTATCAAGCAAATTGTTTCTTTCCTTCTTTTTTTCTGAATATGAGATGCCATTTTCTGTTTCTGATTTATTACTGAGGCAGAACTTTACGAACTTAATAGTTACTTTACAAATTGATACCACATAACTTTATAAGTCTGCGACTTAACTTGTCTATAAAATCTACTGCTTACTTACGAATCGGTGCAACTAAAATTTTTATTCAATTTTTTTTAAAAATTATGACTTATATTAAATTTATTTATTAAAATTAATTAAAAACAATTTATAGTTTTCTTTTTAAATTCTATCAATGATTTAGACGTATATTTCCTTAATGACATGCAGTATAGCTAGAAAATAGAAAATGGTAAATGATGGATAGAAAAAAAAAAGCAGAAAAACAACGATTTTAGTGCCTCCACCTATCGATCCGTAAAGTAACTACTCAGAAAAGTAAGGTGGATCGCGTATTGGGTTGTTACCGAAGGAAAGTTTGTAGGTGAATGCCTTCTTGGTCTTCACCTGGATTCGAATCATGAGATTCTGTTTCAGAAATAAGCACTCTTTCTCTCTCATCAATCATTCATATAAGAAATAAATAAAATTGTTTGTTTTAAGGAAAAAGGATAGTGTCTCATCCTTCCCAACTCTTTCATGCTGTTAGATCACATTTTATTTTCTGACTGGAGCTGAACAATCGACCCAGTTTTGGATTTACGACTATGAGCATTCAACTCCGTAGCCTTGTAATTTTGAACCCAACTCAGTAGACAAGGAATTTCTTTGATCAAGCACTGGGAAAAACTACGTTTTGTGAAGGATTTTTTTAATGGAACCCTCATTTGCCTTTTATGGCGAGGAAAACAACGAAAACCAACCACATTCAGTTTAATGGCAAGGGCGTTTTCATGCCTATGCATTCTAATGTTTCGAATTTATGTTTAGATTCTGTTTTGGGGATTGAGGAAAATGAAACGTGTCCACCTATTGGAAATAACCCGACCCTGCATCGAAGTTGAATGCAAGGATCACTTCATCAGATCGGATGCCATTTTCGACTACAAGAAACATTCCAATTTCAGCCGCATGGTGCAGTACTTAGATATTGTAAGTCTTATTTAACTTTTTAACATTTAAACTAGTTTGTTGTATTTGATTTGTTACACCCCCTTACATATTCCTCTTCACTCCGAATCGCAGCATAGGGCGTCGATCATAGCTGCTCTTGTGGAGATAATTTGCTTCGCTCCATGTCTTCTTGCTTATTCCTTTGAATTCATTTATAATCGTCCTTCGCCAAGTATTTTTTAGGTCTTCCTCTTTTTCTATTGTCCTCAGGTTTCCAATCAAAAAATTATTTTACTATAAATTTTTAAGGGTTACTTAGAACACGACCAATCCATTTCTATTCATGGTTTTTAATTTCCTGTTTATTTGGTTTCTGTTTTGATTTTCCAAGAATTTCTGCCTTACAAATTTTATGGGATTATTTGATATGTAAGATTCTTTTTAAAATGTTGCTAACAAATGTTTTTTCATGTTATTTTGATTTCAGTACCATTTAGTAAGACAGATTTAATATTAGTATTACGATCCGATAGCAAGTCAATAAAAAGTGTACTAAAATATATAACTTTAAGACGCCTATATTTACAAAGATTATGGTATCATCATAACCCAGTATCATCATATGGTATTATTAAACCCAGATAGTTACAGGAGTTAGTTCTTTTTATCTATATTCCATTAGCTTAAACTTGGTTTTGGTTACAGTTATTAATTTTCATTACTTTTCTTTTCATTAATATAACTACCAATATTTTTAGCATTTTCTACAAGTCTGGTGGTTTTCCATCAGCATGTTTAGAGGACATCAAAGCTATATCTCCAGCATGCTATTTATTTCCCAATTCGATCAAAAAATGATCTTTAAGAAGAAACCATCGAGTTTTTTTCCCATATAATAAAAAATACTTATTTTTTTTACAATTCTATTTTGAAATGTATTATAATAATGACTGGAAAAAACTTCGTATTGTACAAAAAATGTAGGCAAGCTACTTAAGCTGTGCGTCTATATATAAAACAAGATATGAAATTTAAGTTAAATAGATTAAAAAGCTTCTGAGACATAAAAATTTGAAAAATATTTATATATAATTTGATTTTATTCATATAATTTTGTTTTCATTCTCTGACTCCTGTTTCATCTCTTAAAATGTCTTTCTTTGCGTCTTTTCTGAACTTCTATGTATTGTAACTCGTTGTTTATAACAACTTCATATGAAAAATATTCATGAAAGGATTGGGAGACATAGTGTTAAGAATATTCTTCGTAAGGGGACATTTTTACATCCAGCTACTTCTTAGGAGGACGCCATACTACGGGAGAAACGTTTCGTTGCAAATTCTCTTTCACCTCCATTACTAAGTTAAAGTATAGAAAAAGTGAGTTCACATAAATCTAGAGTAAGCCATCAAGTTTCAAACACTGAAAAGAAATTTTTTAAATATCAATATGAAAAAATTTTTTGAAAAGATAACTTAGAATTGCCCAATGAAGAAGTTCTCTTCCAATGATTTGTTTGCGTTTTCAAATTTTTTTTCTGCAACTGAAACTTCATGGCTTAATCTAGATTTGACTGAATTTACTTTTTCTGTCTTTTAAATTAGCCATGAAGGTGAAAGAGAATTTATTACGAAATATTTCTCGTGGTAAGGCATTATCTTAACATTGTTTTCAGATAGGTCTTTTACAGCTTACTGGAGTTTTATTTTAACTGTTTCGAAGATTCAAATATTTTTTCCAGAGAGATTATTTTGCTTTTTCAACTATTTTGCTTTTTTCAATTATTTTGTCTTTTTTTTCAACTGTAAAAGTTTATTTTGAAATAATTATTTTAATTGCAGTTGCTGATTGGACTCAATTTTTCATAAGTTTTATCACAAAAGAAGATATAGATTTTTATAAGACTAATATAGCTTATTTACCGTTTAACTGTTGCAAAACGGTTGACTAAATATGTATTTAACTGAGGGGAGAGTCGGGTAGCCCCGCTCACTTAAGGAGTATCGCTTATATTTCTGTATAATATTGAGTAATAATCAATATTTTTGTATGTTTCTATTGTTTTATCATCTAATTAAATAATGCAAAAAGAATAAACCGAAAAAAGAACAGTTTAACTTAAAAAATTAGAAATTTAGAAAAACATGTTTTTCAGCTCTTTTCAAAATGTGTCGGGTAGCCCCGCCCAGTTACAAAAATTATGTTTTTTGACTGTTTTTTCAGGTGCAAATGAAAATGACCAATGCATTGACAATACGTAAACCTCGTTTATCATTTTTATCACGAAATTATTTTATTTATTACATATTTTTGTACTTTTACTGAATTCTATCATTTAATAACAACAATATTTGTTGTTAAAAATGCATATAACATTCAAATTTGAAGCAATAAAATAATAATCTTTGCAACCGTAAATTTATCGACGAAATAAAATTGGTCGTTGATACCCGACATTCATGTGAGCGGGGCTACCCGAAATCCAATTTTTCTGTAAATTTGTAATTACTCGAACAATTTTTCACATATAGACTTCTTTCTTCGTGCAAATTAAACTTAAGACTACATAGTTTAATGCTGTATGTATAGAGAAAAATTATTTTTTTAGTATTAAAATGAAGTTTAATCGAAACATTCAACCAATGTTTCTTAATTTCATGACTACTGTATTCAACATATTTTCAAAACTATTTTTTACCATGTTAACAGCTGCATAAATACTTGAAACTTAGAAAATGATCTTTTTTTAATATAACAATTAATGTCCGATGGCCCATTGACTTGAAAAAAATTTCTATACATATGAAATTGCATTGGGCGGGGGTACCCGCTGGGCGGGGCTACCCGACTCTCCCCTAAATATTGCTCAATTAGGTAAGGAATTTCAATAAAAAATATATTGAATGAATGCATTTTATCTCTGATATGTAATGAAATGAGAATACTCTTTAGGATTTGGCTGACCAGGAAGATTATTTTCCGCCTCTAACTATCAAATTGCTGTCTTCAAGTGGTTTCGGTCGAATAGATATCGTTGCCACTCATGTCGTAGCATCTCTTCAAACATACTCATTCAGAGGACAAAGTTCGTATTTTTTTATACTGGTTGTGACATTTTTTTAACATACAGAGTGTTCTTTAATATCTGCTCTTAATATACATTTCCAAAAACTTTACAGGAAAATAAATTCAAAAATATTACCATTTTAGGAGTTATAAATTAATACTTAGCTGACAGAAATTGTTACGAAACTTGAACGATGAATTCGATCTTAATGTATTCGACTGGGTAGAAAATGACAATCTCGACCAAAATTATAAAATAAAAAAAGTATGAACGTAATAAGAATTAGAAGAAAATGCTCATTTGGGAGAGTTCAGTTAGAATAAGAAGAAACTGGCAAAATTTTTAAATTTTTAAATTCATAACCGCTAAAATTTTTCTTTGTAATGAATGAACTATCAATAGCTAACTTTTAAGAAATCAGCATGTTATAGTCAAACATTAAGCTGTAGTATTTGATACTAACAGTTTATTTTGTATATTGGTACTAATGTGCACTTCCTAACGTCTGCCATCCATTTTCTAAGAAATCTTTATTTTTATTGGTGGCCTTAACTGTTTCGTTTATGTAACATATGAAAAAATAATTTTTATTTCTTTGTTTTCTTAGTTCATTCCTCATCGCATGAAGTTGTGCAGATAGAACTAGATGAAAATCCAGATTCCTATTACATTCAAAAAATAGTGAGATATATACTCAACACTTCTGTTAACAATGAAATAATTTAACTTTTTACGCATACAACATTAGTTTAACAGTTTTTATACGTGGTAAAAATGTTATCTGGTTCAAAAATTTGAGGGTTATTTTCTCACTGTATTAAAAAATTTAAAAAATCCACATTCAAATTGTTTTTGTTAAAAAAATGTATTGAATGTTTTTGATTTATTACAAAAATGTTTAATGTTTTTGAATTAGACTTAGCTTACACATTATTTTACTGTTATTTCACACTATTACTGCTAAATAATTAGTTAAAATTAATTTTTAAATTATACACAATTAACGAATTATTGTTTAAAATTGTATGGAAAAATAACTTTTTTTAGAACATGCAAAACTTGCGAATTATATTTCTGTATAATAATAATTTGATTGATTTGCTTATATTAAATGAAGTGTAATTCACGATCTACTTCAGTAAAATTACGGGTGAAAATTACATTTTTAATTCGACATAATTTACAAACTGTTGTTAGATAATTATCTGTTATTCCATATTTTTCTTGTTTAACCATAAAAAAAACTGTTTTGCCTTCAAAGTTGCTATCTCTTGTAAATACATAATTGTGTTTCCTAGACTTTTCCTTGGACTCTTAATAATGTAGTGAAGAATACGGAAAATGAAGAGGAAGAAGAGGAAAATATTGATTGGTGGGCCAGATTTTACATTTCAATGAACTTGTGCTTCTTGGTAAGCAGCGTTTTACAGCTTATGATTATAGTAATAAAATGAATGAGACGCGTAAATTCCACCGCAATACCTAAGATAAGACGGAATCAATGACTAAGTTCTTGACAAAAAAATTTCTCAATCTTCCGGCATAGTACAACTCAAATCCACATTTTTTCTGTTTTAAATTATTCCTAAACCTTCACTTTTTGATAGTACAATAAAGATGGCCCTAAAAATGTCTAAATCCATTGATGGTATACCATCATATTGCCTACTTAGTCTCAATTCAACGTTCCAAAACTTCAAAGAGAGAAAGAAAACGCTCCGACGTGTCACGAAATCAAATAGCAAAACCATATAGCAATGCTGGACACGACAGTCCAGGATGGGTTAAGGTTTTCCTTTTAAGGGATTTCCTAGCAATCTTCTGGCTAATGATGGATTGCCAGTTAGGATTCTAAAATCTCTGAATTCACATCTTTAAAATTCCAAAATAAAGTGGTTAGAAAAGGAGGAGTAGTATTTAGTGGCAAATTGTTATGTTCCTTCCTTACATAAAGTGGAAAAATCTTGAACTGCGCCACAAACAAACTGTTTTGAAAGTTCACTTGGCAGCTACGTCTGCTAAATGAATATAAGCTCTACCTACAGATAAGGTGAATCACCTCGTTTTCTAGATAAACAAATCGATCCGAAATTTTTTCCGCATCGCTACGTCTGCTAACGAAAATAAACTTCACCTACAGTTAGGCTCGTTTTCTAAACAAGCAAAACGTTCCGGAAGCTCTTTCAGATTACTATATACGTCAGTATGTTTTTATATACTTCTGCTATCAAAAATGAGCTCCGCCCACAGCTAAGGTGAATCTCCTCGTTTTCTAGATAAACAAACAAACCATTCTATAAGTTCACTCAGATCGCTACGTTTTCGAACTGAAATAATATAGATAAGGTAAATCACCTCTTTTTTAATAAACAAATGTACCGTTCTGTAAGTTCACTCTTATCGCTACGTCTGCTAATGAAAATAAGCTCCATCTACTCCTTCCGATATTTTTTTCCGAACGTCGTTGAACAGCCGATTCAATTTTGAGTTCAACTACCAATGTTAAAATCCGTTGTCTTGTAATTTCGATTTCCTGTTTTCTATATAAACAAACAAACCTTTCTGGAAGTACACTCAGATCGCTACGGCTGCTTCCAAAAATAATCAACGCCCACAGATAAGGTGAATCACCTCTTTTTCTAGATAAAAAAAAACCATTCTGGGAGCTCACCTGAACCGTTACGTGTACTAATGAAAATAAACTTCCCTTATAGATAGATCAGGTGAAAATTAAGGTGGTGCTACATATTAAGGGAGCATTACAAAACATTACTTACAGTTATATATTTTCTTTTATTATGCATTCATATCGTATTTAATTGGGTACATATGTTCTCTATCTCATCTAATTGATGAAATTTTGTTTCAGTCTGAAGAAACGCAGTCATTTGGTAAGTTCTTCATTTCTTATGTTTATTTATTGCGCCGAATATATAATTGAAGCGTTGTAGGGAGAAATCTAAATAAAAAAACCATTTTCTGCTTTTTTATTATGACTGCGGTTCTAAAAGACTTTTTTCTAATCAAGGGCCTAAGCCAGCTGCTCATAACCATGTGCCTGGCCCCTCAGATATATTTATTCCCCAGATGGATCAAAGTGCAAGAAAGTTATTTGCTGTAAAATACTGTAAAAGTCTTCTATAACGACAGTTCATAATAGCAAACAAAATTATCACTAAAGCGTGCTTGTTATTATAAGGAAACACAAATATTTAGTGATAAAGTAGCTATATTAATAATTAAAATATTAAATCGAAACTTTTTTCGTTTTTTCGATTCTGTTGCCTTCCGCCAGGCCAGCAAGCCTGTTTCGGAAACCAAGCAGAGGATTCATTTCCTGTTTTTCAGAGGCGCCACCTATGGCCGAGAATACGATTTCAGCCACACACACGTCACACCCCGTTTCACAGGATGGACTCATTCATTCATCCTCAGATCGTAATTTTAACCTGAACCAGAGAACGATCAATCTCTTATTCAGTACCTCCAATAGGTATTGGTTTGCTATGGGAACTTGGAGGAATTTGTCCTCCAAGATTTAACGTGCACCAGTCACCATCTTCAGCCAGCGTGATTCAAACTCCCGTTCTCACGAACACGAGTATAATGTCCTACCAACTAGCCTATCCCGGCCAATTTACTTCTTTACCTTCCTTCAGCTGCGCAAGGTTGATTCAGCCTTTCATTCTTTCAGTGGGTCGATAAAATGAGTACCATGCATACTGCGTACGGCATTCTGCGTACGACTGACCATCCAACCGGATCCTCTGCTCCTATGATCCAAGGCCCTAGTTCAAGAAAACTGAGATGTATGCAATAGGCCTTGACCATTTATGGGTTGTCGTGACACTGAGTTTAGTCCTTTTATAATAGACAACTATTTTGATTTAAAATACATATCTACCAAAGACAGTTTTTGTTTAAATATTGTAGACTGATAAATTGTCGCTACTAGGCCGGGATAGCCTGGTCGGTGGAGTGCCGGGCCCATGTCCAAGAATTCGTGGGTTCGGTCCCCGCCGGGCGAAGACCCCCTGTTTAGTAAATGGTGACTGATGCACGTTAAATCTGTTGAGTCTCAAAGTCCTCCATGTTCCCATAACAAATCAATACCTCTGGGGGTACTGATCCAGGAGTTTCCTTGTCTTCTGGATTGGTTCAAAATTACAAGGCTACGGCGTAGAGCATTAGTAGTCGTAAACCCAAAAATTGGGTCGGCTGTTCAACGGCGGTCGTAAAATAAAATAAAATTACCAAAACAGAGCCGCGATACAACTTAGGGGATAGAGCGTTCGCCTTCCAATAAGGTGAACCGGGGTTCGATCCCGGCGATGGCTGGTCGATACGAATTCTGTATCCGGCTTGCGCTGACAACAGTGCTGACGTGAAATATCCGCAGTGGTGGACGGATCATGGGTTGAAGTGGGCTGACCGTGGGATGTTCTCGTGGTCTTCCTCTCCGTGTGGAGCAAGTGCTGGTTGGTTCCATCAAAAAGCCCTCCACGGAGGCAAATTTCTCCCAATACTTGATCCAGGAGTTTCCTTGTCTTCCGGATTGGGTTCAAAATGACAAGGCTACGGAGTTGAACATGAGTAGCCGTAAACCCAAAAATTGGGTCGACTGTTCAACGACGGTTATAAAATAAAATAAAATAAAATATTGTAGACTGAATTATTTGGTTTAATACTTTAGGAAAAGCAAAAAAATTTTCAACAAGAATTTTTAAACAACAAGTTTTTAAATCTTAACAAGTTTTTGAAAGAAGAAAATGAAATGTACAATACTTTTAAAAAAAATCATTGACAATGATAACAGTGAATGTTGATTTTAACAATAATGTTGATTTTAACCATGATTACTTAATAATAATTAACATTAAGTAGTCATGAAGGAGAATAAAGAGCGTGATAGATGAAATTTAGGGAAAAGTTTCTATACAAATTATTTTAATTTTACTATAGACAGTTTTATATTTTTTCCAGATCGAAAATCAGGAGAGGGAATAACCAAAAAACCATTGGAATTAAACAAAGCTTCTAGACTATCATCTTTCAGTCAGCATGTTTTCAGAGTTGCAGCGTTAGATAATGGATTTCAAAAACCAATTTTAAATTCTCAAAATGCAAGAGCATTCACTGTAAGTAAAATTAAAAGGTAGAACATCACTATTGATTCTTTTTTTTCACCTTAATTTTTATTTCATACATCTATTTATTTATTTTGCAAGCTTCGACAGATATTGTCCTAAAAGAGATAAACTTGAACTTTATAGTATTGATCTAAGAAATCTTAAAAAATCAGTTTGTTAAGAAAATTCTTTGAAATTCTGAGTTTATTATTACTCTATATATGAAAATTGTAAACGCCTCATTCGCTGTTTTGGGTGTTTTTACATTTGTTACATTACATTTCGCTTTACATTACATTTTATAATGTTAAAGCTAAAGACAAATGCAAAAACTATAAGATTTAGAAGTTTGAAAATACGAAAGTGTGTCGAACCCATGACCTTTTGTACATGGGCCCAGTGTTCTACCAACCTGGCTATCCCGGCCTAAACTATATATTTCGCCAATCTCTTACATGCACATTATATTAACTCCGGATAGGGCTTCTATCATATCTTTGAACCATTTGTGGTCAAATATTTTGCCTCTATGTCTTTCTTATTGTTCCGTATTGTATTCGTTTACAACCGTCCTGCGGTCAGTATTTTTTGGATCTTCCTCTTTTTCAATTGCCTTGAGGGTGCCAATCAAAAACTTGTTTTGTTTTAATTTTTCAGGTTTATGTAGAACATTACCAATTAATTTTCATTTCCTTTTTTTTAAATTTCCAGATCAATTGGTTTCTGTCTTGCTAATTATCTCTGTCTTTAAATTAATTATCGTAGATAATTATCTTAATTATTAGATCTTAAATCTTATTTAACTAATTATCTTTATTACACTAGTTCTTTAAAAAAATTAACGCATGAGTGAAAGAAGAAATTTTATAAAAAATTTTTTTTTTTAATTTTTTGTATGCAAGCCTTATAAACAAACACTTTGTTTTTATTTTTTATAAATATGGCGAAATTTTAGTTAGCAGGTCTGCTTGTTAAATGAAGTTACACACGAGTTTTATTCTAATAGTGAATTTTGTTTAGGTGTATGATTGTGAATTGGAAAACGTGGCTGAATTCGGTGGACTCAAACAGTGGCTGCATTCATTTGATTTGAAGAGAGGGAAACGGTTTTCTCGTTTGAAGGACAACATTATTGCTATATTCAAAGTGAGAATTTCTTTAATATATAGCTGAGCTACGGAGCTAATATATAGCTACGGAGTTGAACATTAGAAGTCGTAAAATTGGGTTGGCTGTTCAACGACGGTTATAAAAAAAATACATAGCTGAAGTGATTTGCAGAAAATAAATGCTGGAGCTCACAGCTTTTACTAACCAGTAGCAAATTAGTTAAATTTGATCTGGGAGATTTTGCAAGATACAAGGAAAAATGAAATAACGGTCAATAGCTTTGATATATAATACTGAATATTGATTAATCAACAACACTGAATATTGATTTAAACAGAAAGCTTTCAAGATAAGAAATAAGGAGGCATTATATAAGGTCAACAAAGGCTCTTTATTTTGAGGAGTCTTAAAAATAGCAGAAGAATTCTTTTTATGTTGGAAGGAAGACAACTTAGCTGGTGGTAGTTCAGACATAATTTTTTTTAAACGTTAAGATAAAATGATATTGGTTTTTCTATTTTCTGTTTTAACACCAGAAAATAATAAAAATGTTTCCCACTTTGTCCTTTTTTGTATAATAATCCTCACTTAAACCGTAGAAAAATATGTTTCTTTTAAAGAAAGAAAAAATGCAGCTGGAGGCTAGTTATTTTCAGCTATAATTTTCGGCTATCATTTTGTAAACATCAAATTTTTACATTTTCCCTACAGTTTGAAGATAAAAAAATAAGATGTATTAGGCATTATATTGGCATTTTGGCGACTTGGAATCTTGTAATAGTGGACTTAGTCGTGAATGTCCCTTCGAGCTCTTATTATATTTATATTACTTATTATATTATTAACGATGCAGCATTTATCTAGGAAGGGTATTTTCTAATTACCACCCTCATTACATATATTTTTAATAATCCTCACCCAAAGGGAAGTCAATAGCACTTCAACATAAGGTGTGTAATAATATTTCAGTAATATAAATTCAAAACTAGCTTCTCAAATCGCAAATTAGCATAAGCACAGTGTTGGTGAAAGAATCTTTGCAATTGTAGTTGTATTAAAAAAGAAGTTTTAAATCTTTTATTTCCAAAATATAATCTGAGACACTATACATTTGTAAAAGCATTTCGTGTAACTTTTCTTCCAGATGATATTTAAGAACAATATTAAATACCTTAAAGTAAATTTTTAAAATATGTAGATTAAGAATCATTTTTAATTGACTGTCATTAAAAAAGGTATTTTTAAAATTCAATAACAATATTAAATTTCTTAAAGTAAATTTTTAAAATATGTAGCTTAAGAATCATTTTTAATTGACTGTCATTGAAAGAAGTATTTTTTAAATTCAATAACAATATTCAATAACAATATTAAATATCTTAAAGTAAATTTTTAAAATATGTAGCTTAAGAATCATTTTTAATTGACTGTCATTAAAAGAAGTATTTTTTAAATTCGATAACAATATTCAATAACAATATTAAATATCTTAAAGTAAATTTTTAAAATGTGTAGCTTAAGAATCATTTTTAATTGACTGTCATTAAAAAAAGTATTTTTTAAATTCAATAACAATATTCAATAACAATATTAAAGTAAATTTTTAAAATATGCAGCTTAAGAATAATTTTTAATTAACTTTTTTTGATGAAATTTTGGAACATAAATTATCTTGCTTCCGATAGTTTTAATAAGTTTTTTTTCAAGTTATTGAACTCTCATAATTTAATTAGTACTATAACTTATTATTCCAAAATTTAATTCGTGTGATAATTATCTGTTCTATAATTTGATGTCATAGTTAACCGTCCGATACTTTAATGTACGCTTCCTTGTTAGTAAACAAAATCTTCATTCTTGCCTTGCTATCGACGTTGTCACGATATTCATGTCGATTTATTAGATTTTAAATAAATTTTTTTTTAAAACCTCCCTATCAGTTTCCATAATTTATTATATTAAAAGCTTATATTAATGTTGAATTTTAGCATTTTTTTACATGCTATAGGATAATTTTCAGTTTGAATCAACGTAAATATGTAAAATAGACAAATAAAAAATAATAATAAAGTTTAGCATTTGACTGAAAATTCAAAGCTGACCAGAGGTTCGCTTATTGAATATTTGAGGAAGAGATATTTCTTCATCAGCTAAATTAAAATTTGTTGATGTATTGATATATATTTAATTTTTTATAAGTATTCCTATACCCACGGGAGATTGTGACACATCCTGCATGCAATATTTAAATTAGCATGCTCGTAAAATGTTTTAAGTCATCACTTTTTTTATATTTGTAGATACCAGGTGTGCCAAAAATACCTAAAAATTTTCAAAATCTAATTTGTTTAAAACAAATAGGGTAGAGTTGTTACGTTCTGCTTAGAAAGCATGTTTTTGTTCCAATTAAGATTCAAAGTTAGTTACTAAGTGAGACAACAGCTGGGGCTTCTAAATTCCGACTTGTTCAAATATTACAGTTCAAATGGCCTGACATGCCAAAAAAAAAATTTCTTTTAGAGTTTTGTTTTTCACTCAGAAGTGCCATGACCTAATGAACTTTGTAACTAATTTTAAAGCTTGTTAAGCAAAACATCTCATTTTTTGAGCAGAACACAGCAAACCGTATATTTTCTTTTTCCATTATTTTTTTAAGCTGCTTTTTGAAGAAGTCCGTAATTTTTGGAGCACTTGGTATTTTGCATGATAAGTTAGTGTATTTCTAATAAAATTTAATTTTTTTCATATTTTAGGGATGTTTTCGTGTCTATAAATTGCCTCTTCCACCTCGTGCTTTTGATTATGAATTAGGCTTACCTGGTACAGTAAATGGATTTTTCGAGAATGTGCCTTTAAACAATCCGGTTAAAGTTCTAGTTAGAGCTTACTTTATACAGGTCAGAAATCTACATGAATTTTTTTTTAACATGATCTGCTGCAGTATATTAAGTATGTGTTTTATGTAATCCAGTTAAGGTTCTCATTAGAGCTTAGTTAGTACAGGTCAGTAATCTTCATAAATATATTCAGATGAAGTATATCAATTATTTTTTTTAAATTTTATCCAGTTAAGGTTCTAATTAAAACTTTCTTTAAATGGATTAGTAACATGACTAAAATTTCTCATAACATGTTCCAATACAGTATATTAATTATATGTATTTAAGTTGACTAGGCTTCTAATCTGAGCTTAGTCAGTACAGGTCGCTAATCTGTATAAAAATGTTCTGATGCAGTATATTAAATATATTCTTTATATTTAATCCAGTTAAGTTTCAAATTAGAGTTTACAGGTCAATATTCTGCAAAGAAAATTTGGTTTAACATGTTCTGATAGAGTTTGTTAATTATATTCCTTTTATATTAAATTCGGTGAGGGTTCTAGTTAGAGTTTACTTCATACAGGTCAATAATCTGCAACGAAAATTCGTTTTAATATGTACTGATAGAGTATATTAACTATATTCCTTTAATATTTAATTCTGCAAGATTCTTATTAGACATAATACAAATCAGTAATCTGCATAAAATTATTCTGATACAGTATATTAAATATATTCGTTTTATCAACCCCTCGCTAGGTACCGGTTTCACAGTGAAACTAATTATTTTTTACAATACTAAATATAGTTTTTAATATGCAAAATGTAACATTATTTGAGCTCTTGTTACGTTGCTTTAGCTTTTTTCAACAAAAGATATTGTTTAAACTTTAAGTATATGAAAGAACAATATTTAACCAATTATTAAATTTTAATTTAAAAAATCCTAATTTCTGTCGTCGAAAGCCAGTTTTTTAAGACTTTTTAGAAAAAAATAACCTTGCAGTTGTTGGGATACCTCACTGTTAATTTTATACGAAATTAAAAAACAAATGAAATATTTTTGTTGCTAGTTTTTTTTAATGAATTTCGAATGTTTATTAGAATCAAAGGCAAAGGAAAAGAAATCAGTCAAATCTAGACTATAACAAATCTAGACTATTCAAATCTAAACAGAAAGATAATCGCGGAAAATACAATGCTATCAAAGAAAGTCTTTCTATTAATCACAAAAATTCAGTTTTATGAAGAAGAATGCAGAATTTCAATAAGATTAGTTTATAGTTCACGCCCACCGACAACAAAACCAGAGTATTATAGGAACAATTCCGTTTTTTATCGCTCACAGCTGCCAATGTATAATACAGAAAGTATTTATTCTTAATAGGAAAATCGCCTTTCATTTTTATTAAAAAAATTATTGTTATATAAAAATTAAAAAAAAATCAAGAAATTTTTTTAATGAAATTATTTTCCGAATTATATTCTAATATTTGAAAATGTTTCTTAAAAAATAAATAATTTTCAATTTCAAATTGAATTTAAAATTTTTTTAAAACGAATTTAAAATTTAATTTATAATTGCTAGTTGAATAAGTATGCTGTTTCATAGGAGAAACTTTTCATGGCAAACTTTTATTTCACCCCCATTGGTATTCCAAAATTTGAAGTTCAGTGAAAATTGAGTTCATCTAAACCGTGAAGCTTCAAATTAAATTCGAAATGCAAACTAATTGTGGCAAGATAACTTCCCCTTGGCGAAATTGTGTGTAATCCTGCCATTTATTTTCATTTTCATAATTTTAAAGCATTTTTTCAGCATTTGAAACTTCAGGGTTTGCCTAAACTCAGTTTCCACTGAACTTTAAATTTTATATTACTCATATAGGTGAAAGAGAATATTCCATGAAGGGTTTCTCCCACGCTATAGTGCTCGCTTAAGCAAACAAAGTAAGCAATTTCTAAAAAAAAAATTTAAAAAAAATCACTCGATGTTTGGAGCACCAGAAACTTTCGAACATCTTTCATATAAGGAAGCTTTATACGTATAAATGCTGATTGAAAACTGCATTTTTAGGCAATGGGCTTGCAGCCTTCGGACTTTACAAACACAACGGATGCCTACATAGTTTTACGAATGGAGAAACACAAGATAAGCAACAGGAGTCATTACGTCTCCAAACTTTTGAATCCAGTCTTCGGAGAGTAAGAATTTCAGTTTGCATTTGATAAAGCTTAAACCTATATTTCACAGTTCAAACGTTACTCATCTCAGTCAGTTTAAGTCCAAAGCCACTGTATACAATACAATTATTATCTCACCAATGGTCCTTGACAGTAAAAAATAATAATAAATAAAATTGCTTCAGTGTGGGGAATTTTCCGGGCAATGGTCCTTAACTTTAAAAAAATTATCAGTATTCGGAATGGCGGACAATGGCCCTTAACATTAAAAAGCATTAGTGTACGAAATAGCTTTCGACAATGGCCTTTAACCTTAAGGAAACATCAGTGTTTGGAATAGCCAGCAATGGTTCCTAGCCTTAAAAAAACATTAGTGTTCGCAATAGCATTTAACAGAGGCCCTTAACCTGAAAAAAGTGTACGGAATAGCAGACAATGACCTTTAACCTTAAAAAACATTAGTGTACGAGATGGCTATCATTAGTTTCCTAAATCGTCGCCAATAGCCCATTGTGTAGCCCTAGTGCGACGTAAATGAACTACAACTACAACAACAACCGTAAAAAAAAAAAAAAACATGAAGTAGGAAAGCCTAACTTCGATCAGTAAGCACAACACTGCTCTAGGGTTGTTTATTACTCTTTATTAAATTACTTAATACCTAATAATGTATTGCTTTATCAAAAATCCATGGTGGCCAAGAGAGTGGAGATGGCTGAAGGAGACAAATCGGGGCAATATAATTTTTCGTGTGTGAAATTAAGGGAGAGAATGTGCATTATAGTACTATTTTAGTGTTAACAATATAATTCTAGAAGTGTACTGTTGTCATACTTTAAAGGTGTTTCGAGTTTGTGGCCAGTTTTCCTGCTGAATCCATACTCAACATTCAAGTGTGTGACTGGGATCTTATGGGCTCGGATGATCTGATAGGAGAAACAACCATTGATTTGGAAAATAGATTCTACAGTAAACACCGCGCCACTTGCGGACTTCCTAGGTTTTATGAAAAGTAAGCATTTTTTTATGTCTTTGCATGATTCTTAAAATTGTTACTGGGATTATTAAAAAATGAACGACAATTTCAAAAATCAAACAAAGAATAATAAAAGATGATGCTGTCTCATTCTTAGAGTCCTATACTTAATATTTTTTTTCTTCACAAATTTATATATTAGTTAAGAAATTTGTCAACAGACTACGCTAGTGATTGGAAAAATAAAAAAACAATGGTTTCTACTGCACATTAAGCCATTCTAACTGATGCATTTTCTCGGGCGTCGAGTAATGTGTTCATTTTGAAAACAATGCTTTATACTTCTGCTCAGTTAACATCATCATCCTATGCCGAATCCCTCTATCTAATTTTTGAACTTACTGAGAAAAAACCTAATTTTCTAAACAGAATGCAGCAAACTGTACATTCGTATCTCCTGGCTCTTTTATTTTATTGATTTGTTTTTAAATCATCGGTCATTTTATGGACAACCAATTCTTTAAATTTGAATTACTAGATGAAAAGATTTTTTGCTCTTAATGAGAAGAAAATATACTGTGTCAGCTGCTCACTTTTTGTATTTTCTTAATTTAAAAACGTGTGATTCTTTATTCTCGAAATTGCCGTGAAGATATTGTTATACTTGCGAATGTAAATATATATATATAAAAACATCTCATTTTTTG